CGGACGTGAAACTTGTGGTGGTGAAGTGGTGAAAAGGGGGGGGGGGGGGGTTTACCTTGGAATAAAAACTAGTGTGGAACCAACCCAGGATACTTGCATTAGCTCTTGACTGATTCATCTCCCTGCTTATGTCTTTGCGATATATATATAGATTGAAGATGGACTTCTGCGGGTTGTTTCGAGGACTTCTGCTGCTGAAGAACTTTTCTCACTTTAGGTGCAAGTGGAACTGAAGTGATGGGTTCACATGGTACTTAATATAGGGCTATATTCCACCAAGGGCAAGATATGGCTACTAAGAGGCAAGTACCATTCAGTAAATAATCTAATTCTTCCTGCAACTTTCCTTTTGTTTCTATGCTTTCAGCCTAATTAATTACTTCCTTTTGTCTCACAGTTGACAGGTTCTCACACACTCATGAATCAATACCTAGTTATTAGAACATAGCTCCAGTCAGGCTTCCCAAGTACTTACGGTGATTCGGCGGGGGACACAGACGTCCTCGCAGGATCATTCCTGCGGGGACAACAGATGGCCGCACCATGCCGTCTCCAGGAAGTGACGCCGGGCGACGCTCTGGCAACGGGGCTGGAAACTCGATGGTACCATCGAGTTTTCAGCCCCATTGCCAGAGCGTCGCCCAGCTACATGCCCACGTCATGTCTGGACGACAGGATAGTGCAGCGCCTGCATTTTTCCCATGGGAATGTTCCCGCCAAGAACTGTACATCCCCCGCCAATTTGCGGTAAGTACTTGGTAGCCCTACTTCAGGAAAAGTTCCTTTTTTGCCCCAGCCTGACCTGGTCAGTGGATGGAGGAAGAGATATGATAAAAACTCGTTGCAGCAAGGAGGAGGTCTCTTTTGTGCCGAGTCCATAAGAGCAGACAGAGGTCTGGAGGAGGCGACCATTAACCATGTACTGGCCTGGACAGCTGGAGGAAGCATCAAGGTAATAGAAACTCTGTAGAGATATGTAATTTCCTAAGCTCAGGAGCCTGTCCTATATTTTGACATCTGATAGGACATGTATAGAGAGAGGGACAGAGGAACTGCATTTTACCCATTTCTTTTTAATCTCCTGCTCAGTCTAGTGTTGTGCTCAAAGTATGCTTGTGAACATTTTCTTTTTAATAAATACTTTATAACTTTTGATGCCGGTAGTGGTTTTCTGTACCACATAGACCTCCACCCATCTTGGGCACACTATTTTAAAAGGAGCGCCAGAGGGAAGGTAGTCAGTTGGCAAGTGGCTATTCCTCCAGGGGTGCACAAGGCAGCAGGAGACGCTGAGGCAAACCCTCAGAACTTGGAGTGGAAGCTAGGAGTCCTCACCCTTCCAACAGGCAATTCCTTGCAAAGGTCAGGTGGTGCCAGTGGTTACCCAAGAGAGAAAGAAAAGCCTCTTCAGGTGTTGGGAAAACCTTGGAGGGTAGGGTGGAACAGGGCCTTCAGGCCAGAGCAGGCCTATTCTGCCACACAGGGTATAAGCTTTCGTATGCACACACACGTCTTCAGATACAATGAAATGGAAGTTACCAGTCTGTACATACAGGTAGAAAGTGAGCAGCAAATTAGCATATAATATAATAAGGATGTTTGAGGTTTAAGGACAAACAGGAATAACAAGCTTTGTTTATATGGTTACCATTTGTTTGGGTTTAATTCTGGGGGGGGGACATAGTGAAGTTAAGCCCAACAAAGTTTTATTCAGGTTATAAGATTCCGTGTGCCACTGGACTAGAACATTGTTCTGCTGCTTCAGACCAACACAGCTACCCACCTGAATCTACCTCATTATTAGTTCTTTATTAGATATCTGGGAGAGGGAGGGTTAACTACTGCTTTTCACTTCATTGACAGCTAAACTAACTGTTCATATTTTTAATGTTATTGTTCCAATTGTAATAGTACAAAATAGCAGTAATAAAAATAAAGCAAATGATACAATTTAAATCATATAATGATGATTTGCAATTTAGCTACAAATACAGAGCAAACCAAGAAGGAATTAATTCAACTGGAAAGAGAAGAAAGGACCAAAATGTAAGAAGGCAAGTAGATCTGAGACTCCCCAATAGGGCTTTGACTATCCATACAAGATAACCTGGAACTTGAATTGCATTTCAAGTTTTTAAAAATGCCACAAATCAGGCCTTTCAAGAGGTAGATAAACCACACAGCAAATGCTGGAATGAAGCATGTTGCCAAAGATGTTGTGTGCCTTGTCCTTAAAAACAGAGTGAATAAACAACGGGAATTCTAATCCACAGTAAAACAGCTAGCGTGGAACCACCCCCAGATTCTTGGATTAACTTCAGCCTGATTCCCTCTTCTCTGGATTTAGGGTAGCAGGATGAAAGTAGATAAAGATGTAAACTGTCTTGGTGTCAGATCAGTTAGATTGAATTCACTTGCAGAAAATGGCTGCTTTGAAGGCTCTATTATACCCCTCTGAGGTCCTGCCCCTCCCCAAACTTTGCCCTCCTCAGGCTCCACCTCCCAAATCTCGAGGTATTTTCTAACATTACAACAATTCCCTGTGGTATGAGAACCTTTTTAGTAAATCTCTGACCTACATGATCCAATGTGGTATAGTCACAGCCAGTACTTGGCATCTCTAAATCGTGGGTGTTAAAATACACAGTAAGTTATCACTCTCCTGACAGGATTAATACATTTAGCAACATTAAGTAATGCAATGCCTAGTCATCTCCTTATGAGAGATTTTGTGCTTCTTACCATATCAGAGGACAAAGATCTCAGTTCCCTTTATCGCATATGCAAACTAATCATATTCCAAATTCTTACAATATGAGGGAGGCTGTTGAGAGCCCCGGGCATGCTGTCAAGTGTGTGGTAACTCACTGTGTATTTTACACATTCCAGCTTACTTCTCAGCAGCCTCCCACACTCTGTATCAGACAGCTTTTAAGTATATGTTTCAGTGGATTAACACTCTTCTTTTGAGGTAATGTCTTGCGTTTATCGCTTAAGACAGGTACAAGGTCTTCCAAGACCATGCCAAAGGCAGTTGATTCTTCACATACTGATTTCAAGATGATCTTTATATTGAAAGTGATCAGTAAGCGTCTTTGTATTCCAGTCATGTCCTGTCAGTGCCATCTGAAGTCAGAGTTATAGAGCAGATATAACGAGAGGGTAATGAAAAGAAACTCCTGGAGTCTGTAATGACGCCTTACATTGCCTCATGTTGTCTGTATTATTTCTCACTTCCCAAAAGATATTGTATGCAGGAATTTGTATATTCCTCTTTTCTACACACTCCCATTACCACAACATCAATGCATAATCATAATAACAACTTAACATTTTTGGTGCTATCTCGTCAATTGATGGCCATGGCCTTAACTTTTCCCAGCTGAGCCTGGGCAGGAAGAAGATGTGATACTTCCTGAATATGAACATGAATGCTTTGCAACTGTTTTACCACATCTCTAGTCCTTCCTATCCAAATTGTAATATCTCTATGATTTAATATTCCAATTTAATATTCTGTAACCTGGCCATTAGTCAACAGCGTTTTTAATCTGCTGTCGCTTTAATATTCTCTTGGTTTTAGGAACCAGTGGTGCAGACTTTGGGTAAGAAGTCCAGGGTCTGACCTCACAGGCTCAGCGGGAGTGCCCAAAAGCAGACTGGAGCTTCATATTTGATGTATACATTACCATTCTAAAAGGGGGGGCTCATAAGATCTTTCTCCAGCCTGTAAAATTACCCAACTTCATTGCTGTTGGGAACAAGAGAACCTCCCTGAGGC